ATGAGAGTCCTAGGACCTGGAGGATTTCGTGCGTCTGTGAACGCTGGTTTTGCTTTTAAACGCCGGCGATTTGTGTGAGGGTTTCTCGTTTAGGCTCCAGCTGCTTGACGTGTATTGCTTGTGCCCGCTTTTCGATCTGTTGCATACTGTACCGGTTTGTTTCAACGTTTATCATCACCCACAGTGATTTTGGCATATAGTAGAAGAGAGTCAGAAGCGGTGAATGACAGACGCTGCGTAGCTCCGGTACAGGCTTGCCCACTTCTGCGTTGAGTCCCGGGTACGCGGGCGACGCTTCCTCAAACTCCGACGATACGGGAGACCATTCCGTTGCTCGTAATGCGTTAGCTCTTGCCTCCGCGGCTTTTTTGTTGACACCATCTTGCCCTATAAGAAGTGATTCGACGAATGCCTCGTCCATGTGTGGAGCGTCAGCGTCCGATACGACATCATCATCGCTTGGAGTATCCACTAAGGGGGAATCTTCGTCGCCGTCGTCCACGCCGTCGCTGTCGCTCTGGCCAGAGCTGAGACTTTCATAGGCGCTCATATTTTCATCCTCTGGGACAAAGTTAACATCCGGCTTGACGTTGGAGAGTGAACGAAGCCTCGAGCCTGAGGGTGCAGCGCCAAAGTCATCTCTTTCAGCCTCACTATCAATGCCAGAAGCTTCCGACATTAAGTGAAGGCTTGTTGCTGCATTTAGATGTGATTCAGCAGCTTCGAGCTCTCCCGATGATAGTCCAAACGCTCGTGGCACTGCGGCCTGCGAAAGTTCGACGTCTGAGTCACTCGAGGAGCCAAAGAGATTATCAAGTGTGTGTTGTGACAGCTGTGCTCCTGTGTCGATCTGCGATACTCGAATATCACTTTCCTCAACGTTTTTGCCATTGGGGCTGGCGTTGTCTTCGGTCTTCTCTTCTTCATCCTCGCTATTCGCCAGCAAACCGGACTCTATCGCATGCATCACGACCGCATCTTCTCCAACAAATACCTCGACGCCATTCGGAGTCACGTACCTCCACTCCGTCTCGATGCCGCTTGGTCTCTTCGATGACCATCCAACTGCTCGCAGCTGTCTCCACAAGTGCTTGAAGTCGATGTCCCTGGCAGCAGCAGCAACAGCATCTGTCTTGCCACGCGTACTGGACCGGATGCGCACCATTGCGCAAATTCTGGAATGGCACGGTTACACCTTCCTATCCTATCCTTATCCACGTGTCTCTTTCCCGTTCCCTCCGTCTCCCTTCCCGCCTGGCCTGTTTCTGATGCAATTTTGATTTACCTCTCCCATCTTATTTTCCTGAATTGACTTGAATAAATTATGGTTTGAGCCATTTTCTGTTGTTGCTTTCTCTATGTCGTAAGTTACGACATACTAAATTTGCTATGGCGTAAGTTACGACGTTGGGAACCAGGGGGTTAACGTAGATTCGAGTTTACTGTTAGCAGCTATCATAAAGAATACCACCTTTGCCTCTTAAAAATAAATACTAAGACGTGCTGTGCCGATTGCAGAAATGAGAAACATGCAGCAGCTGATTCATGGTGGTTCTATTCGTACAAACGCTTATTCGAGCCTCCCTACTTGTATAAAGTGCAAAACTGCGAGCGTTAGCACATCCTTGCTATTTTGAAGCATGTTTTGCAACATGTGTGAAAACAGTACCGTCAAATAATAAAAACTGACTGAGTTATGGAGGAATATCATCAAGCTGCCGACAGTCTATTTCTTACTTAGTTTCAGTATGGTCGTATCGAGCTGATATTTGATAAACAGCCAATCAAGTCGTGGATGCAGTTATTTTATCAAATTCGAGTTATTAGGGTTAGGTGAAAAAGCTGCCGACGTTGTGCCGACATATAATGTCGGCAAGGGTACTAAATATGCGTTAATGTATACAAACCATCAAGTGTTTTAACATCCTTGGATATTCCCCCTCTGACCGACAAAAACACATCAAAACAGTATGAGTCTGCAAGACCTTGCACCGGCCAACTCCCAGCGTGCACAACAGACAGCTATCAATGCGTTCGCTCGCTTCCTTGTGGCCGAAGGCGTCAATATGCAGTATATCGCAGCCACTCTTCTAGGTGATATGACTGGGGCAAAGTTTGTCAAGCTGATGGATCGCTTCGCAATTTATCTTACAAGTGCAGAAGGGCGAGGAGGGAAGGCGCTAGCTCGCAACTCAGTCATGAGCTACTACCGGCACGTCAAAAACTGGTTACTCGACACCTACCCGAAAAAAAGAGCCTCAATCGAAAAGAAGCTTCTCAAGATGGCCCAGACTCTTGAACGGCACTGTCTGAAGCGCCTCGAAGGTGGTACTACGAAGCGAGCGCCAGCGTGCACGAAGGAAGATCTACGTATTCTGATGGACGGTCTGTATTTTGATGCTGCGAGCTCTAAGGACTACCAAGACGCTGCGCTCCTTGCCTTGATGTGGTATGCGTTCGGCCGCGCTTCAGACTTAGGCTTCGTCGCAAAGAGCAACCTCACCGTAAGCGCTGATGGAGTCGTCTTTGTGAGGCTGTTACGCGTCAAGACATCGGAAGAGCAAGGTATATCGATCTTTCCTGATCAAGTGAGTTTCGTCACCTGCCCACTACATGCGATCGCCATGGCCCTGGTAATGCAAGATACACCAAGCTCACGTTTACTTGATCATCCTCAACTTGCTACCGGAGACGAAGAGAGAATCGTAACCCCTACAGATATCTCTTTAGCAGAAGCACTAGCAGCCTGTGACGGAGACGACACAGAAATGGCTTCTGAGACTTCCAGCGAGCCACGCACGAAGAAGCGCAAAACCAATGATGAGAGTATGAAGATACACGCGTATGTCAATCGCATTGTCAAATCCGCGAGCGAAGCACAAGCAAGAGCAAGGCCTACCCCCAACTTGACCTCGCATTCTTTCCGCCGCGGTGGTGCCCAGCATGCGAACGGCGATGCTAGTCTAAGCGCCCAGTGGATTTTCGACCGTGGTTCATGGAACGTGACGTCTACAAGCAAGGCATTTGCGTATGTGTTCAATACTACAAGTGATGATCAGAAGGTTGCGAGAGTTCTGAGCGGATGGGACGCAAGTGCCAAGCCCCAGGTGCCAACGTTAGCATGGTTGGATTCCACAACACGGGAACAAGCCCGTTGCATTGCCAACCTCCTCTTCCAGACGAGTATTTGCACTGAAGATCCCAGTAAACGGCTAAGTGATCGTGTATGCGAAGTACTCACGGCATCTTTGATCCAGCATTTTCCTGAGGTTCTAGAACGGTATCCGATGTGTCCATACGTGTCTAGAATGCGCATAATTCTCGTGAAACTTGGAATTGAGAAGGCACAAGTGTTGGCATGGAGCTCTGAGCTTCAGCGTAAAGCGATAAAGAAAAGCGACGGCCCGGAAGGAAATAGCGGCAATAAAATTTCGCGTGAAGATACGCTGATCAACCATCAAAATTGCGTCATTAGCGAGTTGGTAGCGATGAATCAAGCGTTGGCTAAACGGGTGACGGAGCTGGAGAAACAACAAGCTCAGAGGGATGGAGTTATATCCGTGTCAATGCCCACACCTGAGCCCGGGACAGCGGAAGAAGTGGCGGGAAATACCTCACGCCACACTGTGACTTCAGCAAAGCTCAAGGGCTGTGGCTCTGAGTCGACTTCTAAACGGCCGGCAGCAATCTGGTTTGAGTGGTATGCCAAGACGCCGCGGCTCTGGGATGTCTGCGAGAACCGGCAAAAGAAATCAGCGTACAAGCAAATTGTGAACTACATGAAGCTCTTCCTGCCAAATGGCTATAAGCCGGACCCATCGTCACCTACTTATTGTGACCATGTCCTGGAAGTTGGGCAACAGTCGGAAGAGAACATGTTTAAGTTTTTCGTAGCGTACGGGGCTAAGCGCAAAAGTGGGTCTTCCGTCCTGAAGCAATTGCGAAAATACTACCATGAAGGTAAGTTGGATGCCCTGATAAAAGAGTTTCGATCTCGTGTTGCAATCGAAGCAATCATCGCTCCAGCTCCGCGTGAAACGCAAGACTTGTTTGTACGTACGTAGACAACCTATTACAGAATAAGTGGTCCGTTACCAAATAAGTGGCCTGTTACAGAATAAGCGGTCCGTTTCCAAATAAGTGGCCCGTTACCAAATCAGTGGTCTGTTATTAAATATATGGCCTGTTACTGAATAAGTGGCCACGTCTATTACAGAATAAGTGGCCCTTTACCAAATAATTGGCCTGTTACAGAATAATTGGCCACGATTGTTACCAATTAAATGGTCTGTCACAAAACGAACAGTCTGTATAAGCCCGACAAAAAGGTACCTCCCACAAGTCACTCTACGATTTCTGCGGTGAGGGGGACAGGTCCGAAAATTGCGTCATAATGGAAACTGCAGCAGCTCAAGGTGTAACTGAGGGAGCTACAGCGCGTCGGTGCACTTCGCTGACGCTTATGCAGAAGCTTGAGAAGCTTATTGTATGGGAGGCTAATCCGGAATGGGGACCAACACGAGCCGCTCGCGAGCTGAGTGTTAGCCGAGGTGCTCTCAGTAGGTGGAAGGAGGAGTATCCGGATCCCTCGCGCGTGAAAAATGATTCAACACTCGGTGATGGAGCGAGGAAGAGAGCGGTAGGAGGAGGAAGAAAACGGAAACCTCCTGCTTTTGAAACAAGGGTGTTGGAGTACTACGATACTTGTCTGAGAGAAGACGGCAAAGCAACGTACCACGATGTGTTTACGTACTGTAGCACCATCCCTGAGTTCCTGCTAAAGGATCTAGGTGCTCAAAAGGTGTATGTGACGAGGTTCATCAAGCGCTACAAATCGTCGCCAGCGGCCCTTTCTGAACAGGAGACTACCTGTGGGAGCCGGGCTACGGAGCTCTTCAAGCCACATACAGATACCAGCGACGAGCTAACTTTGCGGGGAATACAGCCCTGCGTACCTGATGAAAGCAACGAGCTAGTTAGCTCGGGTGCTATCAGCGACGGAGGACGACTTCCGCTAAGCATCTCTGACCAGAACAGCGATATTCCATTCCCTCTCGCTACGGCCAAATCCAAAACTACCAAGCCGAGCAGCTCAATCGCACAACGAACACGTACGAAACAGTCACTCGTTATTGTACCGATAGAAGTTTTCGAGGCGACGCTGCCACCCCCCCTCCCCCCAAGACTCCGCAGGTAACGATGTTGGTGACACCGCCACCGGTACACCTCCTGGGAATAATAATGGCGAAGGTACAGTCAATTTGGATGGTGAAAGAGGTGATTGCAAAACAGGACACGATGACGAAGAAGACCCGACATCTGATGACGACAAATACGACGAAGTCGAGGAAGAAGACGACGAAGCTGACGACGACTATAACGACGATCCGGAGCCAGATGAATCAGATGACGACGGGCCATTTGCAGATGATCATGATGAAGAATTGGAAGTTGATTATGCGAGGCAAAATCAGCACACAAAAACTGTCACTGGTTCTAAGCCGATAGCTTCTCGGCGCCAGCGTGATCTACTCGCAAAACGCAGTAGAGCGGTGTTTTCTTTTACAGTTCGCAACCTTGACACATCGATGTTGGGAGAAGAACGCTCTGTGAAAGTTTTCAAAGATGATATCATGACGCTCAAACCGTTTGGCTGGCTTGCTGATGTGGTAATCGACTATGCCATTTACAAGCGCATAAAATTAACTGGAGGATCTGTGAAACTTCTTGGGGCATCGCTTTTCAGTCAAATCAACCAGGCCAAGTGCGGTGGTGAAAGCAGTTTCTTGGATGTCAAGAAGCTCGTTGACAAGATTGACTGGGATCTGTATTTTGCAGTTCTAATTCCGGTTTGGGGCGATAACCATTGGAGCTTGCTTGTTGTTGAAGAGCCCGCCAAGCCATCAAGACGCATGTTTCACGTTGACTCTTGCGTGGGGATTCATGTGTCGAGCCACGTATTAAGTATTGCAACGCAATTTTTGGCTGAAGTCTGTGGGGTCGCCTCTGATGGTTCTGCAACGACATCCGTCTGTGAGACTCACCCGCAGCAAAAAAAACAACTCCGATTGTGGGGTCCACATGTTGTATTACACGGAGAAGATCGCTTTGTATATCACGCAAAACAAGAACAAATCGATCCAAAGCGAGATAAAAAACTGACGTCTGGAATGATTACTGGAAGATCGGACAAGTTCCGCATTAAAATGCATCAAACGCTGAGCAATCTCACCGGTACGAACAACTAGTCCGCTCAGCAGCGTTTGGTAGTGTTAAGTTCACAAATACATCTTTTGAGCTGCTGTAAATGCAAAACGAACGTGTTGTAGGTAGGTGAGTGTAACCATTGTTTGGATTAAGGCCACTTATTTGGTAACGGACCACTTATTCTGTAATAGACGTGGCCAGTTATTTAGTAACAGGCCACTTATTTGGTAACGGGCCACTTATTCTGTAATTGACATGGCCAGTTATTCAGTAACAGGCCACTTATTTGGCAGCTCCCCTGTCCAGTTATTCAGTAACAATCAAACCAATACAATTTCACAAACAAAGTATTAAAAACAAAACACTTTGAATTTCGCCGCCATACTGTGAAATTTAGCATGTTGTCTATTGAGACCATCATCACTTATCGTGACTTCAAGACGCTTTGCATTACGTTTGCAAAAGCAGCCAAGCTACGCATTATGGACGCGTCCATCCGTGCCTTACGCAACTCGATGATCCAGACAATCGATACTCGAGACCGTGTACCGGAAGCTCTCCGCGCAATTTTTGTCAGATTGAAGGACAAGTGTAAGGCCAAGAGCAACAAGAAGAAGCGTGGGCTGGTTGAGCTGGACGACATTCAAGAATGGCTCATTCCTCCAACCGATGGAGCTGTGGGTCAAGTGCGCGGGACCTACGGAGTGCGACGTCTCTTGCAGTGCGTGGTCATGGGCAACAAGGCACACTACCTGGTAGACTGGGAGCCAACCCTGGAGCCTCGCGAGAACATCTCAAAGGAGCTGATTACGCAATTTAACCGTGACCGCCGTGATCTTGTGCGCAGTACCTTCATTGACGATGAGGCTAACGAAGACAATACTTCCTCAGCAACCTAAACGACATATAGACACTCATGTTGGCGAAAACAAATTATATTACATACGTTAGCACTAGATAGCTCGTACAGCATACTTATGGGCAGTGTATAAAACACAGCACTACAATATGCTTAGCTGAGTTTTCAGACGCCTTGTATCATACATAATAAGTAATCAAGATACCACCGGCTGGATTCGAACCAGCTCCACCGGCCTTTCGGCCGGGCTCAACCATCAGAGCTTCGGGAAAATTTGGTAGTGTAGGCAGTTACGTACCGTGAGCTTGTCCGTTGCTGCTGAAAAATCTGAAATGACAACAAGTGCTTTGGTGCACATCCAGTCAATTAAAAGAACCTCACTAAAAATCAAACCTAACGTTGCTTTGTGACCAGTCTATTTTTTACCAATCACCGAAGCGTCGGCCGGTGTCGGCCGCAGTCGGCAGCTTTACGCTATGGATGAATGTGATAGTTTATCGTACCATACTTGAATTTTGTATGGGTATATACTGCCAATTACCTGTCAGCAAATATCACCAGCAATCACTGTTAATCCAAATCATGATTTAAACCAATCGGATGTAGTAGGTCTAGGTGAGTCATCCAAGCCACCCAATCGGACGTATCAAGTCCGATAAAACTCTAAAATATGTGTATGTTCATTCAGTTGTCAAGTAGTAGACGTATCACTTTCATATTCCTCTTTATCGGACCTTCGCGATGGGTTTGGAGGAATTGCAACCTGGCAACACATTGCGGGCTAAGGCAACTGCTGTTGCAGCATTTTCCAAGTTTTTAAAGGGTGAGGATGTTGAGGAGGAATACGTAAAGAAATGTATTGAGGAGGATGAGAGTGGCAAGAGGTTTGTGTGCGTCATGGATAAGTTTGGAATGTATCTTGCGTTTAGTGAAGGAAAGAAGGGTAAATTGCTGGCACGAAACACTGCAATGCAGTACTACCGCCAAGCCAAAATTTGGCTCCTAGAGCAATTTCCTCAGCACCGAGCTTCGCTAGAATCGCGGCTGCTTAAAATGGGAAAAACGCTAGATAACTTTTGTCTGAAAAGAGATGGTGGTGGCTTCGAAGCAAAGGCTCCACCATGTACAAAGGCTGACTTGAAAAAAATGGTTGTGCATTTGTATGTCAATGAATGATCTGAGAGTGACTACCAAGATGCTGCTCTTCTGTGTCTGCCAGTTGAGCTACATCGTTGGAGGGGGGGGGGGGTCAGAGGCGACCTGGAGGCTTGGAAGGCCGTGAAGTCCGTACGGGAGATCAGCGTAGTTGCGTTGAAAATAGTAAGACTGACCGCCAACGTGAGCTGTCGGCGACGGATTGACTGAAAGTGAGAGGCTGTAAACCATTCGATACGTGTAGTCTAGCGCATTTACAAGTGGCACGTTTTCACTGGCAGATAATTAACCAATAAGCAGTAGTAGCTCTGATAACTGGCTGTCGTCAATCTTAATTTACCGGACAAATGCAATATTATCCGGACGATCGTGGAGATTCTGCCTCATTGTTAAATTTGCTAGCTCATGCGCAACTCTCATGCCAAAAATGCATAGAAAAACAAAATAGTGATTTTCTCAGCCCAGAGGGCGTTTCAGGCCATTTCCTGCCGTCTATAAAACAGTCTGTTTGACCACTCTTTTGCCTTTTGCGTCATTTCACATCAGGCATGCCCTCCCCTACACCTCGTACCTACCTGAGATAAACTGTGTACAATACATAGGTCCGATAAGGTCATCCGGTCCGATGAATTTTGGTATGGGCACTCGACGAGGTGGCCGTATAATTGTGTCCAGGAGTACACCGCTCACTCTAATTAGTCATGCCATGACTAATTATTGTGAATAGGTTGGAGTATAGATTTTTGGAAATTTAACAGCCCGTTATTCAAAAACTACTAGTTCATATTTCAAACCAAGCACACTATATTGCCGAGATCTGCCCAAAACCGTTGTTTTTGTTTACGAAGCCATGAGAAGATCGGACATAGCGTACGGTAGCTTGATGGAGCTCTTGTACCTATAGTCCTAGCAGAATGAGAAGTTACATTCAAATTGCACTGATCCTGTAAAAGTAGGTTGCACCGGCAAGCGTTGACACCGCGAACGAAAGTCGGACTGAACAGGTGCTGCTTCTGGAGAAATTGGATCAATCGTGGCCAATTGTGCTATCCGAATTTAGCAAAAATATCAACACTGGGGGGGGTCAATTTTCGATAAAATGCTGTCGCTTGGGGTCGTTACGGCGTCTAATTATTAGATTATAATACATCTTAGAATTGATGACTCTTCTAAAATATCCCAGATTTGTGACATCACTAAAGCGCGAAAGAGTGAACGGTGTAGTCTTTTTTTGCATGTGACGTGTACAGACTGAATATTTGTACTGATTCTAAACGTACACGGAGGATAGTACTACTGCCGAATTATTATTCTAATGGTAAAGCGAGCGCAAGCAGTACCAATTCTTTCAGCAGTTTTATTAATATCTCAATTCACTAGCGAGCAAATCAGGGATTTGGTTTTTGCAGACCATTCTCCAGTAGAGATCGTTCGAAAAGCATTTAAGTTTCTTTAAGCTTTTGCTCTCAACAGATGCATTTATGCAATCTAAAGTTGAATCTGAAACGAGCTTTCGATTTAAAAACGCGATTCCAATTGTAGTGGGTCACACCATTACATAAGTAGGTAGATTTAAATTACAAAAGTAGGTGCAGCAGCACACGGCCAGCGTGTCTGAACTGCCGTCATCCTATTGGTTGATATATGGGAAGCCAGACCCATTGTCAACCAATAAGGAGCTGATGTGTATTTTAATGGTCAGGGCAAGCTGCCCTTGACCTAAATAAAAACAGAGTTGATTTTCCTTCAGACTAAGCTCTTGGTTTCACTATCGTGGAACTTGTACGCTTCCTCATCGTTCCGTGTAAGCTAGTAACGGACACTCTAGACCCGTTACACCAATTCAGTAAAGAGCGGCGACGACCTCCATGCGACAGCCGCTCAAGCGGCCGGAGAAGATCATATCCCGACGCATGAGCTGTGGGTGTGACTAAGCCCGAGAGTCTTTGTTAAAGCTGATGACTGCATGGTCAAGACAGGCTGGCAAGTTGATAGAAAATTGGGTTTCTCTTTGTCGACAAGCCGCAAAATTCAGGGCCAGCTACGGCAGGTAGTTTGTTGTAGGAGGATACAAAAACTCACTTTCGAATACAATTCACACTGACCAGGTCCTTCCATTCGTTGTACCTCCTACCTCCAATAGATTACGTATCTTACTGCAGCAATAGCCAAAAGCACTATGAAGGCAACACCAAATGAAGGAAAGAAACATGTACTCGGTGACCAAGAAAAACTCAGCACCAAGTCTCATCATGTGCCAATGCGATCGACGAGCAGGTGCATATAATAGACCTGTAACGTATTTCGCTGCCATGAAAGCTCGGACTGGAGGAAGGCTATCTACTGCGCTGCTTTTGCTGTCCTATCCAGCATCCATGACTCTTCACCAGGCCAAATCGTGCTCGGCCAGAATATGATCTCGGGCCAACCGCACGACGCGAGCTGGAGCTACTTGACCAAGCACAGATTTACCGCAATCCTCTTCAGCAACGATCGCGAAAGCGACAAGTGCACTTCTACAAGCCCGCTGCGGGTGCTTCGCACGGATGGGCTTGGATTTGATACCATAGCTGCAAAGAAGCTCTCGAAACTCTTTGCCAGTGAACTTCGAACCTTTGTCGTGGATGACCTTGCGAGGCCTCAGGTAGAGGTAGCGCCACTGGCGGTCTAAGCTTTCAGCTTTTGTCAAGGATTCTTTGTTGGACTGCACGCCAACTTAAAACCAGCAGGCCGCTTGGTTGATCATGGTGACTCCATAACCTTGTCCTTTGTACGGACCGATAGGGCCGACGGGGACGGCGTCAAACGAATTGACAGTCCTCACGGACGTGGTGGTAGTAGTCTAAATGATTGTGTACCACCGTACATCTTAGAACGCTTGCAGATGATGCATTTCTTGACGAGCCTGGCAATAGTAGGCTCCAAATTGGACCAGTAGAACGTGCTCCTCATCGTCTTAAGCTGCCGTTAGCTTGCGGGGTGGCCGAGGCTCTGGTGGCACCACGACGAAAGGTCGTCACACAAACTTTCTAAGACGATAACCCGCTTCTGGTACGCCATCAGTGAGCAACGCAATAGCGGAATGAGTTGGTGGTCAGAGCTGTTGCTGCCGGTCAGACAGGCAGCCTTAACCTTCATGATCATCTCGTCAGCGTCCTGGTGCTGGCGGATAATATGTCCATGCATGACATACTCAGGCTCGTCGCTCGCTGCACAGATCGCTTCGTACAGAAAATTGCTTTCATTTGTTGCGAACCTCATTTGTGAGAAGAAATTGGCTCCTCCGTTCCTCACCCCCCCCTCCCCTTGATGTAGTGCAAGGTGATACAATAGTAAATTCCAGCGCTTAACGCGTAGACACGTCTCAGTGGGGTAAATTGGGCTGTTTCTATCCGTGTGTACCACAACCGGAAAGTCAAGTAGCATCGTACGGGATTATCTCAATAGTTTGATAATGAAGATCGATTTCAACTCCTTCGTCGTGGTTGAGCTGGAGCTTAGTCAGAGTCCTGGAGTAGCACGCGCCTCCTGCATGATAAGGTCGCCAAGCTGAATGCCACTCGCGTCAGCGTAGAGATGGAAGGGCTTGTCGAGATCTGGAAACAACAGCATTTCTGCTTCTGCAAAGGCTCTCTGGATGGCTTGGAGGCCCTCTGTATCCCTGTGTAACCATGTGTAGACCGCTTTGCTGCTCTCGAACCTGTGCAGAGGCTTGCACCGCGTGGGTTTGTCGGGGACCATATCCTTGTTGTTATTGACCACACCTAAGAACCGTCGAAGCTTTTTACGGCTCCTTGGCTTCTGGATAGTTAAGACCTTCTTTGCTTGATGGTCTGATGCGTTTCGCAGATAGCGTGTAGTCTAAGCTATTATCTTCACTGCGCG